CGTATGATACTTTGGATTTGTTCGATACAAATTCTTCATCCGTTTGTCAGGAATTCACTTGAAGGATTATTTCACACATATATCATTATCCGAAGAGAGGTGAGGCTGAAAACAACAACTATCAATAAATAATTGAATTATATTTACGATGGTTTAGTACAAATTTTGTCACTTATAGAATAAATAATTATTGCTTTTTGATTCTTATTTCGATGATTTTCATGACACGTCAATTTTTATCATGAATTAATTTTGGCTTTTATTACACATTAAGGCACAATAAACATTGTAAATAATATTCAATATGAGTTTATAAACGATTATTGACGAATAGACAATTCATCATCCGATGAAAACGAGAAGGAAAAGGTCATAAACTTAAATTTAACTTCATTTTTCACAACTTTCCCACCATTTCTGTAAGAAATAACTTAGATCTTTTATTTCTTAGAATGTGTAAAATGATCTGAAGAAATTTTTCGTTCCGGACGAATACTAAAATTTTTCTATTTTTAACACCCACCTTACTAATGCACTATATGTAGCAATATCAATATAATTTGGAAACAATGTCAATACGCAACGTCTAATAAACGTCGGCAAGTATATTCCCGATACAATATATAGAACACATCGACACCACTTTTTGTTGAATTGTAATATGTAGTTGATAACGTCTGGTGTATACCTACTTATTATCTGAATGATTTATTTTGTGTTCGTGGTGCAAATTAGGCAATAACACGACGCACTTCTTGGCAAATATGAAACTGGTGTAAAATTATGCTTGAACAAAAATTGTGACGAATACTGAATTTATATGACACAGTTTTGACAAAATAATTTATTTTTACGAACTGTGCTTCTAAAGAAAATATTTTCTTTCGATAAATCTTCGACTAACATAAGGTTTGTAAAAAGGTTATCGGTTATTAGTTTCCAAGCGATTGATTCCAGAAATTGCTCAGTTGCTACAACACACGTTGACCTTCATTCTTTTCAGCAACATTACCAATTTTTCGCAGATAAACATTAGGCCTGTAACAGTAGTAGAATTCAGCATTGCAATGAGTCCATATTTTTATACCATATTTTCCCGGTTTTACCGGCATACAGACTCCTCCCAATTATTGTTCCGAACTCGGATCCGCGCCAGGACAATAATCTCATAGGCAGAAATACTTCAGACCCTCGGAAATTCGCTAAGCCTTGGCAACAAAAGCGGAGGAACAATAAAGTATTCGCTTGATATCCCCCCCCCCCCTACCAGTGGTGGGGATAACATCTGGACAATAATCGTGTAGAACAGGGGTCGGCAAACTACGACCCGCGGGCCAAGTCCGGCTCGCCGCCTCTTTTTGTACGGCCCGCGAGCTAAGAATAGATTTTATAATTTCAAATTTTAACAAATTTCAAAGTACGCCCTATAACGGGTGCTTAGCTATAGCGCTCTTAGTGGCTAAAATATTTACTATTTGGACCTTTACAAAAAAAGTTTGCCGACCCCTGGTGTAGAATATGCCAGACAATAATCAAGAGGAGTCTGTACCAATGGTCTGTTTTTCGAAAGATGATGCCTGGGAGGTAGGCCCAAGTTTTCGCAGTGTTGCCGCGATTGCGAGGCACCTACGGCACTTGTATCTCTCTCACTCTTCGCGTCTTGGCCAATGACGTGCGACCATCGACGTGAGTCCTCGCCTACGGTCGTCTGTCTCCATTGCACGTATTGCAAACCTCTCGAGAAGGACCTACCTACAATCTCAAGGAGTGGGGACTGTGTTCGGCACGCGCCCGTCAATCATCCATTGTCTGGAAATGGCGGAGAATGTTGACGAGACGCTGAACGTTTTCACACGTCAAGAGTTAAAATACATGAATAAGAAAAAGTTTATTTCTTTTGAAAGATTGTATTGTACCCAAATATTGAGCAACATATTAAAAGGGGGTTAAATTAATACGTAGGTTATTAAACGCTACACGTGGAAATCGCAGGGTAAAGAAGGAAGTTGGTTTACCGAACGTCTGAGCGAGACGCTCTCGTGCCGAACTGCCGGAGGATGGAAAGAGACACACAGTGGCATTGAGACCGTCACAACGTCGCACGAAATACGTAGCTCGCGTTGGATCCCGACTAGGCCACCTCCCAGGCATCATCTTTCGAAACACAGACCATAGAAACTCTGAATGGGCAGCGCCCTAACAACGCACTAGTCTGGTTCCTTGACTAGATGCTGTATAACAGTTTTTACAAAATTTTGCAAGCATATTGCTTATTTCACGAAGTGCCCACTAACCCATCACTGCGTTTCCTTCCCTTGATGTGAAATCCTCGAATCTTATAAATTTATGAATATTTGTCAATCCAGCGAGGGACATGGCAGTTGCGTAAATCTACCTTAATAATTCTGGTTTTTGTCTTCATACATCGGTTTCTCTTTTTCGTGATTTTCTCGAGAAATGTTGACAAGTCGACGGCCCTGCTTTTTACGGGATCCTTCGTAGGTAACCTTCTATTAAATGAAAAATCTCCTTATTGAAAAAAGGCTCTCTGCCTCAATAGCAATGAGGATCCGTATATTTTCCTTCTGACCACATAAGATACCGCCTGTTGCTTGCCCCGAAAACCCTGATATACATTGGATCGTTCAGCGAACTATAAGAGGTAGATGACTCCGTGTTCCGATAGGGCAGGTCTGTCCAAACGGTACCCCGAAGCTTGGGGGCGACACAGTTTGCCACGAGACAAGCCTCGAGACAGCCATGATAGACGCGGTGATATGAGTAGAGGAAGTCGCATGCCCTAGCCATATCACGTTTCTTTTCTCTTTCTTCACACAATTCTGAAAAAATGCTGCCACGAGAGTAAATTTTTGAACATGCCTACTGTAGGGGCTCCCTAACTCTTCAAGGTGTTCCCCGGTTATTACATTATTTCAGATGCCCTTTCAATATGTCAAAGGGAGGCTCATTTACGGACACAAAGGCTATCTGCCACACAGTCAAGTAAAGCATGCTGTAAAGAACCCTCAGAGTTAAAAGGTAAACTCTTCTATCACGAGCGAGGTTTAAGTGCAGTTCACCGTACGACTGACTACTCTGCGTGTACTCATTTTGAGTCTTTTGTCTTTATATTTTAAGTCCTCACGGACATTTCCTTTCTTGTACGTTTAACGAATATTCGTTTTGTTGCTTTTCTTAATATATGTATGTATATTTTATTGTTAAAAAAAGAATTGATCAAAGCAGTTGTCCGGGAAGTAAAAAGTCCAGATTCACCCTCCGATGCGATACCCACTCTCTCGGGTTCTCTTTCTCCTACAAATTGAATAATTTCTAAGGAATATTTCTGAATTACTCAAATTCTAATTATTGCAAACCATGCACATATTTTGTGTACAAAATTTATCTGATATAATTGCACAGCTCGGTCAGAGATACTACTCTGCGACCATATAATTTATTTCTGGGTTTCTGACGGAAACAGTGAACGATAATGACAAGTATGTGAGGAGGACTAAAAGCAAACACGAGCACTTATGTGATTGGCAATACGGCAATCACCGTTTCGGGCGACAGAGATGGTGGTGCCGTCATATAGTGTTCACGTTAGTATTAGCCAAAGTTTTATAGTAAATGGTAAGGACATGAACAAAATAGAAGAAAGAAATGGTTCACTTTTCTTTATAAGCAACCATCGTGTTGTATACAGGGTGTAACAAAAATGTTGGAACACCCGGAAATGCAAGACTCGTGAGGTGATTTGAAACAAGTTTTTCCGTAGCAAAAATGTTATCCGAGGCTTTGTTAACGAGATATTAACGAAAAACCACGAGTAATCAGAGCGCTAATCTGCCACCAGAGTTTCCGCAGTAGCGTTGACTACCAATCGTAGCGCGTAACCAACGTTACCGCGGGAAATCGGCTGACAGACTCGCGCTCTGATTGGTCGGGGTTTTTCGTTAATATCTCGTTAACAAAGTCTCAAATAACATTTTTGCTGAGGAAAAAGTTGTTTCAAATCACCTCACGAATCTCCCATTTCCGGGTCCTCCAACATTTTTGTTACACCTTGTATAAGAACCATCGGGGTTACATCTATTTGTAAAATGGGTAACAGTTTTCAAATAACGAACGCAACTTTTAATTATTTAAATGGAAAGATACTTTTTTATATTATATGAAAAGAACTGAAGACGAATTTAACCATTTGGGTCGCAGGTATTTCCAAGGTCACATACGATCACGAATGAAAGAAGTAAATTAAACACTTCGTAGCTATACTGAATATATTCTTCTAAAAATTGCACTAGTAAAAAATAAATACATGTAAATACAATGCTACAAGGTGTACAAGCAATTTCTGCGCTTACAAGGTCCCATATTACTGAATTCAAATTTACCTTTAGTCTAATACATGTTTCGTGTCATATAAAAAGAATATAAATTTTCGTAAAAACTTTAAAGTTTACCTTCATTATTCGAAAACTGTTATCAATTTTAAAAGTAGATATAGCTCATAGTGTTGTTTATCAAAAATATATGTACCATTTAGGGGAAAACGTTGTCTAATAATAACATAAATACCCTAGATAGGAGATGACAAAACGCAGTTTATGGGGGGAATACTGATCATGTTTGAACTCATTTTCGTTAAAAAAATATCACGAATGCATTGATCATATGTCATGGAGATATAATGAAAAGTAGAAAGATTTGTTATTTCCATTAGTAGATTATTCATTCGGAGCAATTATGTTGTAGCATACAGTTGACAATAGTTTGCATTCCGTTCATCTATCTCTCTCACTCTCGGTCATCTCGGTTACTCCTCTCTGGTTACACTCATTTGCCCTTCCATCATAATCAACGATTCTCCAGCATCGTGAACTCCAAGGGGGAAATAACTGTATTATCTTCTAATTAAAATGTAACGTGCTTTCCATTCAAATTTGGTGATTAATATGAGCAACAAAAATGACGTTCTGTGTATTTTTTTTCAGAGCTGCCAAGGATCTAGAAGAACGTCGTAGCCACTATGAACCTTCGCTGGGACCTGGTATACCAGATGACGTTGATCATTCTTTCAATCTCGAGGAAAATGATTTCGTACCACACTTCCAGAGAGTTTCCATATCCGGAGAAGATACTTCCGGGGTAGGTCAATTATTTAAGATATGTCAGTATCTAGGTTTAAATTCAGAGAGTATATAGAGTGACACGAAAGTAACATAATTCGAAACTGCGACTTTTGAGAAAAAAATTGTTCTGTACGATAGAGGAATTTTATGGTACACAGTAATATAAACGGTGGAATGCGGTGGCAGCCATATTTGTGCGCAGTAAATTTTTGATAAATGTTCGCAAACAGCTCGAGGTTAATTACTCTTGCGTCATCCTTACTCCTAGGCGGATCTTCCTTGTAATCAGTCAAACGAGTAACGTAACACGTCAGCGGCTTCCCTTTCAGGAACCGATGGTTAAAAGATGTCGACTAAAAAAAAGATTAATAGCCTGCGTATCATACTGACAGTACTAATATTGCAATGAGACTTTTTTGATTCTTCGTTAATGAAAATTTCATTTAAATATTGGTAAGATTTTTCTAATTAAAATGAGACCACAGACGACATGTAATAAATCTTGCTAAACGCTCGAACCTCGGACGTTTAACACAAACTGATTCATTGTTGCATTAGTATTGTTAAAGCGATATACAGGCTTCTAATCTTTGTCTGCTGTCTCGACTGTCGTTGCCGACAAAAAACAAAGGCGAACTGCCGAAGCTCGGTCCAACACTTTTGTGGGACAGAAATCGTGTCAATCTTTTATAAATAATTTTATGCGGTCCCAAGTTTCGAGCATTTAGCAAGATTTTATTGTATCTTCAAACAGATTACAAGCAACAGCCAAACGGGATACAACGAGCATGTGCATATACATTGAACTCTTGATATATGACCGCTCGATGTACGGCCCGCGTGAGGCGTTCAATATCGCTCTCCCAGCACGTTACCAGCACTGTTCCCATCAGCACGATTTAGCTCTTGATATATGACTGCTCGATAAATGGCCGCGCGAGACACTTGCCCTCCACATGTATTTTCACGCACCCAAATATCGCTCTCCCAGCATGTTATGTGCGCTGTTCCCACCAGCACAATTCAGCTCTTGCATAGGCGCTGCGGCTGGGGCTACGAAGGTAGATCTTAGTTTCGAGGGGGCTCTCGATACATGGCCGTTTCCGAAAATTTTCCTCTCCTACAACCTCGGTCGGGGGTATATATCAAAAGTCCGCTGTATATCACGTCTTATTATTTCTATTAATGTTTACGTGTGTATCTATACTATGTCGATTTATTAAAAGTACATCATATGTAGGTCCGCGATATTAAGTTATCAATGAGTAGTGGTGAATTGCGAGTAAATCATAAGTTTGTTGCAGTAACATTAATGTTTATACAATAATATTCGAATTAGTGCAGCGAAAACTTTTGGTATTACTAATAAGTAGACTAAACGGACGTTTCTGTGAATCGCTATAAGGTTCTTTAAATGAGAAGTAAGCAAGGTGTAGCTGGGTCGAAACAGATGATGTGCAAACTGAAATAGGAAGTATAATACACGAATATTCGGTCCATGAATAGCATTTCCCCTGTATTTGTAAGCTTTTCTCTTTCTGTTTGTGTAAGTTTAATGTTTTTGTGTAATTCTCATGCTCATCGATACCTACTACTTAAATGAAAAAGTTAAATGGAAAGAACTCTCAGCTTTATTTTCCAATTTTTAAACAGTAGAAATGTCATAACATAGCCGAGTTATTCGCGAATTGTAATACCTCTTCTACTAGGACACCGATTGCTGATCAGCATCGCCTACAAGGACTGGAACGTCCAAAATAAAAAATGATTTCTAATTTACAAATAAGCATGTATTATTTACAATGTAGAGTAGGATTTTTCAAAAATGTAAATAACTATAGAAATGACAGCAGTTTGTAGAGAAAAACTTCTTTTCACGTCAAAAATTAACTTTAAACATATCTAATAAATTAAACAATTGGGATATTTAAAAAAGCCGATACCACTTTGAAAAATACTTTACGGAGAATATTCCCACTAAATTTGAAATTGATTTTGTGGTGGTGGTCAAATAAAAAGACAGTCTCGAAGAAAATGTAACAGAAGTTTTACGATAAGATTCTTCTCTGAAGACTGTTCTACAAGAAAGTGTACGCTAGGACTTTTAAACGGCTAATCGCAGCGCCATTTATTTCGAGGTGTTTAATAGCTTGAATTATGCTCTCTTGTTTAATGTCTGCTTTGTCATTACGTTAATCGATAGTTTCGTGCAAATGGACCAAATATCTCAAGCGTTATGAAGCAGTGTTTCTCGTTGATCATGCGAATGGACCAAAATTACCCTTCAGGCAAGCTGCAAAGGCACTTGGCAGTCTACGTCATTCGTCCAGAAGTGGGTGCAGGGAATTAACCCACACAATGTTATCAAACGAGAATGACATTTTTCCATGATACTCTAACATCACGCCAAGCTCAGGTTCAGCTTCGTAACGGACACCACCAGACGCCGTTTGCATTAATTGCAAATTAATTATCGTTCCACTTCTATCCGAAAAGCATAACGCAAAACGACTGGCGTGGGCACAAGAAAATTTCACCAAGGATTTCAGTAATGTAATCTTCTTGGACGAGGCTTCCTTCTGGGCATGGGTAGTCTTGAGAAAGACCTGATCATTTCCAAGTTTATGTTTGGGGTTGTTCCTGCAAGCGTGGTTTTGGCGTTCTTTTTCTCTTTACCGGCAATCCGAATACTGAAAAGACATGCCAAATCTATCAGAAGTATTTCTTGAAGTCTGCTGGGAAATAGTTTAGTCAAGACAGGAACTTCAGGGAGACACCGACCCAAAGCATCATAGCTGTCTTTGCACTGAGTCGAAAACGGAAAATGGCATCACTACGATGGATTGTCGGCATCATTTCCAGATGCGAATCCCTTTCGAAAATGTTCGGTCCTACATGAAGTTTAAGATCAGGGGAAGGCCCGTCTACACGGTCAAGCAGCTATCGACCAGAATTCGACAGCTGTGGTACTTTCTACTTTGCCTATACGCAGAAAAACTGGTCGAAAATCTGTGAAGAATGTGGCAGACAATTATCGACAATGGAGGCGAGTGGATTCACTACAAGGTAGTCGTGCAATACCTTTTCAAGTCTACTTTAAAGTACAACAGTTCTTTTTTTTTCTAAGTTGTGTATTATAAAAATACTGCTATACACTTTCTTGTGGAACAGACTGTAAAATCACAGGAAAATTTAATTTGATTATGTCGGAAACAGTCGTAAATCCCCCGAAAGCATATTCTGCTGTTATTATGGAAGAACTTCCTTTATTACGGAGAAACTGAAAGTTTATCTAGTGATAATGATCCAGAATTACGAGATTCTGAAGACAATGTATTTAGTACAGTAGAATCTGAAATGTGCATAGTTTATTTAAATCCCAAGAAGAAATTTATTTCCTTATGCATGTATATAATTAGTTGTACAAGTTGAATATAATCATTACATACTAAATTATATTTAAAATTCTGTATATAATTCATACTTCGAAGTTTTAGTCATGGGTCAAAATGACCCTGCATCCGCCGCCGTGTTAATCTCAGAGCATCCGTCCTCCGAGGATTAATTTCGCTATAGCAGTTATCCTTAATCTACCATGAAACATGAAAAAGAGACTTCGTCGTAGAAGAAAACTTTTATGGATTGAGATTAGAGTATCGAGTTCGTCTTTCAATTATTTTAAACTATTACGTGTAGAGCACGTTTGCACAACCTATGTTACATATGTAGTAAACCAGATCTTGCCTTTTTGTAGTTTCTACGATAAGAAACCATATGACTGTTGCTTTATGTAGGAAACCTTATTTAACAGCTACCACACTCTTCCTTTACGACCTCCAAGTTCCATCATTCTATCAGAAACTCTTTAATCCCTAAGGCATCACGGCTTTCTGTTTGTTGACGACCTTTCCTTTTGTTTCATTTGATTTTAATAGATTTTTAAAATACTTCAGTTTGTATATAAAACATTATCACAAAAATAGTTAATTATAAACATTTTCAACATTTTTGTTCTACTTGTGCTTCTGCACCACCCTCTGAAAGTATGAAGGTCATCCCATACTTAATGATATATCTTTTCAACTTTTGTACCAATTCTTCAATAGTTACCGACAAATTCTGTTCAATAATAACCCGGAAAGTGTTTTCACGTAGTTCTACAGGCCTCTCGACACGAGAGTCATCCTTAAGGTTAGCTCGAAAATTATTGAACCATCTTTAGTACTGATTTTGTTGTTCAGAATGTTGACCTTGACAACATGTGGCAAGGTCAAGGCTATCGAAGCTGGGTCTTCCTTTGTAAATATTTACCGTTTCATTAATATACAAGCAGTAGCCAGGATAGACGAGATTTATTTCATCATCAATGTCTGTACTTCCATACTCAATACTTGTATTAGAAATTGTAATACCGGTAAACCGGCCTGCCGGTTTATCACGAAAAGTACACCGAAGAATAGTTGGCGCCGAATATTAGTGTTAAAATAGTAGTGAAAAAATTGCTAATTTGCTCCCTCGGAATCTAAAATTGCTCCCATCGCAATTAGTATATTTAATGAGATATTGCAATAGTCCTGGAATTTCAACCCTCTACAGTCCCGAAAGCTGCTATAAACGAGCGCCTACCGTATGACGTCATACCTAACCTGTATGCAACAACATTATTTCAATTGCTCCTTGTTAATAAGTTGTTATTAAGATATCTGATCATTGATTATTATAAAACAGATCAGTAGCAATTTTTTGGTACCATAATATTTGTGTAAAAAGACCATTTACTATTTATTTTGCAAACAACTTTTTGCTTCTTCATTTGCGAATATCTCATTAAATATAATCGTTGCGATGGGAGCAATTTTAGATTTCTAGGGAGCAAATTGGGAGCAATGTTTTAAGATAAAAATTGTTAAGAAACACTAATATTCGGCGTCAACTATTCTTCGATGAAAAGTATTGCCATTTTTTTTTACCGGTAATTCTATAACTTTAATGTCAATGAATCATTCGACATCTATTAGGTTATTAATGAAAGAAAAACTTAAATTTTTAATATAGACGACAACAGAAGAACCAACCATGAAGAACTAACTCTGATCCAAAAGAAAATTAAAAATCTGAAACAAGTGATTAAAAAAGAATTGACGTATCTTCCAGATGAAAACGTAAGGGGAAAAATATGTACATACAAATGGCATATGATTTCCTTTATGATTACTCGACCAACAAGTGTAGAATCTGAGAGAAACTGCATTATTTTGTACAAAAATTAGGTCACAATTTTAACAAAGTCTAGACAAATTATGTTTTTGCGTCCTTATTGTTAAAAAATAATAAATTGAGTCTTGTAAATTAAGATTCTTTTCATTGTTTTCGTGGTGAAAATGCATATTTAATAAATATTGTCAATGGCACTGTTCAATAAATTTTAATTTTTTTTCGACTTGGTGACCTTCAATAGGCGTCTCTGATAAACCTTTATAACTCGAATACGAATCTGCAAATCATTTTTTTCTAGTACGTACAGTTTTTGAAAAAATTAATTTTAAAACAATGCAAATTTTCAACTTTACAGATGTGTCGTGTTTTTACAGTTATTGACTTTTATGCGAACTTTTGACATGTAATAATTCTCTGGACTTTTCCGAGCAAAACGATATATGTATACCGAGCGATAAGATATACAGGTATTTAAATACTGATCAAAGTTAAAAGGACAGCGATATTTTTCAATTTATTTCAAAAATTAAGGATCTAAGAGAAAATCTAACCATAGCATATATACCATAATCTATTCTTTTTTTCAATAGAAAAATGAAATACTTCAGCAAAACACGCGTCAGTGGCAGTAATATTCAATGACGGCGGTCACCTTGCCAGTGTAGTTTTCTAACATATGTGTTTTGTGTTATATCATTTTATGTTTTATGTTCAGAATAGTTTTATTTGTATATATTTTTTATACTGTCTGTTAATTTTTGTATGTCTGCTTTGAATTGGTTTGTTTTAGATACACTAACAATTTCTATACTTTGTGAGTCCTCTTCATCGTTTATTTCTGTTAAATTAGTTTTGTGAACACATGTATTTGTATTTTGTGTTATTTGCGACTTTGTTTCGCAACAGATTTATCTCATACATGCATTCCATTAAATATTTTCTCAGTCAATGGTAAGATTTATTGGTTTGCACAACATCGATCCAGCTATTTAGGTTTGCAATCTGGACCTTTTTGTCTTTGACATTATGTTTGCACACTTGAAAATTGTAAATAATGCTAGATAGCCGTGTTACTCGGTTTTTGCACTGGAATGACAAGTACTACACATGGATCGTAAGTTGTCAATGTATCAAATTAACAGGACCACCTCTAGTCCCACAAATTGTAATTATTGGCTAAGTCGGTCACGCCCATAAATCTGTTATCGTGTGAACGAAGAATGCGAAAGAAGGACAACGAGACAGAGTGAGGTAGAGCGCTAACGCGAATCGTTCAGTTTGTAGGTACAGTGGACTCTAACTATATTGCCACCAAACATATTGCCACGCGAGGCGCTTCCTCTTCACACGTACTTTCGAGCACACAAATTCGCTCTCCACCGGCGCACCAGCACGATCCAGCTTTTGCGCAGGCGCTGAGGCCGGCCATGACGATAGAACTTAATAGCATGTTGGGAGAGACCCTCCTACAGCCCCGACCATGGCAATATAGTTGGAGTCCACTGTATGTATTTCCAACAATTAATAAGTCGGAAACGAAGCCTTGTACAGAGTTTAGTCATCCTTGATTTTTGCAATGTCTTCGCGAGGCTGTTTTGATGTAAACAAATACAATCATAACATTATTCAGACACTTTTTAATGGATTGATACGCAATAGTGTGAAGGAGATTGTATTTGAAATTATTTCCATTAGGACTTTACTTTAGACATTAGCTTTGTTGTCGGTGAAATAATCGTAAATATACATATACAATAAATCGGAACGTATGATACAACCGAGGAACTAGTCATTCCATGTATAAAAGTCACTTTGAAAAAGTTTTCATATGACAACTTTGCTTTCAAGAAAATTCAGTTCTAACGGTGATATGCTACTATCTGTTCCCCATTGATCTTACGATCCCTTCGCTATTAATTTATACTTTATTGTTGAAAGTAATAATATCATTCCATCAAGCATAAAAACTGCTCTACATTTTCGACTTACTTTTACACAAGAATATCCTACTTCCACTGTTACTCTGTCCTAATACACTTTGCACGCTCCAACGAAAACAAAGAAAATATTTCTGTTTAGGTATTGAAACTTTTATTGCGTTTATTTTGTGAAACAATTCTAAATGAAATAAAAGTTCAATGTTTTTGGTACATGTGAGAAGCTGAAATAATTAGTAACTTGTATTCTAGGTACCTTTGGAAGATCTTCAGCAGGCATCACAGATGCTGGTTCAGGCACTGGCTATACGTGAGAAATACATGAACAATTCCAGGCAGAGTTATCCTTCGATAACATCACGATTCTTGCGCAGTATCGACAAAAGACCAGTAAACAGTGACGATGAGGTTCAGCATGATGACCGTAAAGCCATCGCGGGTATGTAGCATATGCGTATACATTAGATATTAATTTGGAATATCTTTTTCTCTTTTAATATGTTTCACGTCGCACCGAATAGTCGAGATATACAGGAATCAAACTTATTCGGGACACAATACAAACAATTCTTTATTCATCGACTTTGTATTTTTTCTTACCTGGATTTCAACAGTGTCGAACCACGAAAAAATGCGAAATTTCGAATTCTTGAAATTCGAAACTTTCTTGGGTTTCCATAGTGATGGCTCTTCAAGTCGAGCTATTCGAGCTTGTTCGAACCAACGGTCATTCCAGCTCGACTCGAACGTTCGAACGAACTCGGATGACGGCTTCATGAGCTCAGCGGGGACTAGAGCCTCTGCCCAGCCTCGATTAAAATCGGTTAACGTTGCTACGAGATGCAAACGATTAAAAATGTTGAAAATCACAGTTTTTCCCGTCTTTCGACCTACAACTGTAATAAATCTAGCAATTTTTACATCTTTTAATGCCTGTCGCTCGTTTCTGTATAAACCGATTTCAATGAAAGTTTCAGTATGTATATAACTAATATAAATCTTCTATATGTATTTATTAAATTTTCATTATAGCCTCAGATTAAAAAGTTGTAAAACACGACCTTTACTATTTTCTTCGCGATTCCGACCAATTGCAGCCTTCTCAATTTTTGTTACACATCATTTAGTAAATTAATGTCCCTAACTCCACAAGAGAACTCAAGTCATTTGAACCAAATTTAAAGAAGTTGCTCCGTTTTAAAGGGTGTCCGATTACTTTTGTCCAGTACTGTATACAGGGTGTTCGACTACTAGTGGGAAAAAATTTAAGGGGTGATTCTCTAAGGCAAAATGAGACGAAAATCAAGAATAACGAATTTGCGACAAATGGTTTGTTTGTTAATTATAAGCGTTTAAAAATTAACCCAAATGATGGCAATCCGCGCGCACGTCAGTGGATCACGACTCGTAAGGGGCCTACAGTCACTTTAAACACTCAACGACGTGCATGAAAAGTCGGTAGAACAACTGTCTACTTGTGCCCGTGGTATTTGAGTCGAATTCACTTGTATCGCATTAACTCTGATTACTCGATAAAATTCGCAATAAATGTATACAGGGTGTTTCGTTTAACTGGAAACGGTGGAATATCTCACGAAGGATTAAAGTTATTAAAAAAATGTTCGTACAAAAGTTGTTTGGTTCAAAGGGGTACATTACGTGGTATAAATAATTTTTTTTTAAGTGTAGTAGTGGGGGAGATATCAAAGTCAAGTTAATTTTTTTAACTACTACACTTACAAAAAAATTATTTATACCACGTAATGTCCCCCTTTGTACCAAACAACTTTTTTTTCCCTCACCTTTTGTCCAATCACCTCTTTATTGTCCCATTTCAGGGACCTGCAACATTTTTGTTACATCCTGTATATACGTCTATTACGTTATGAAAATCAATAATTTGAATAGATATGCCCAGTCGTATTAAGTGTCGTGTTACGTATCGAACGCGTTACCACATCGCATCCTAATCTTACATAAATGTACCACTCCATAAACGGTGCGGGTGGCAAACACACGATAATAACTCAAAATATCGGAAATTATCGTACAAAAATGCAATGGGCCTTTTTCCGTGGAACCTTCAGTTTATTTTTAAAAAAATTACCGCTTGCTTCCGTTTGCAACATAACTTTTCGTTAGAAAAGAAAACATATATAGATCTTGTATTCTCCTCTATAGCAAATGGAAAAAGTGAAACAAAGCATGTCTTTATACTTGATTATTAGATCATCCTGTACACGCACCAGCATCTCGAGGAGATCCATGGGAATGCGTATTTCCACCCACGAAAAATTACAAAATTTCACCTGTTAATGGTGTTTTCAATTTGTATGCCAACGAAGAAGATTTTGTTAATGGAAAACCGATTCCATATTCGTACCCCGACCTGGCAATTTTCGTGAGGGACATGAATATTCTCTGTGCAATGATTGCCGATGGTCCCTTAAAATCGTTTTGCTACAGAAGACTGAGCTACCTTTCGTCGAAATTCCAATTGCACGTATTATTGAACGAGCTTAGAGAACTTGCGAATCAAAAGGCGGTCCCGCACAGAGATTTTTATAACATCAGAAAGGTCAGTAAAGCAAAAGCATACACTTATAGAATAGAAATTAGGTACATACAGGGTGTCCCAAAATAGCTTCGACTCCCGGAAATGAGGGGTTTCTGGGTCAATTTGAAACAACTTTTTCCTTAGCAACAATGTTGTACGATACTTTGTTAATGAGATATTAACGAAAAACTTCGCCCAATCAGAGCGCTAGTCTGCCAGCCGAGCATCCGTGGTAACGTTGACTACCAATCGCAGCACGTAGCCATCGCTACCGCGAATACTCGGCTGGCAGACTTGCGCTCTGATTGGTCGGGTTTTTTCGTTAATATCTCGTTAAGAAAGCCTCGGATAACCTTTTTGCTAAGGAAAAACTTGTTTCAAATCACCTCACGAGTCTCCCATTTCCGGGTCGTCCAACAGTTTGGTTACATCCTGTATAAGTCCTACTGTCATTAAGTCCCTGCTATAAATGATGTGTTACTATTATTATTATTATTATAGGTTGATACACACATTCACGCAGCCTCCTGTATGAATCAAAAGCACCTTCTTAGGTTCATTAAAAAGACCTTAAAAAATCACGCGAACGAAATTGTCACATGCTCGAAAAATGGAGAGACAATGACTCTGCGAGAGGTGTTTCAGTCCATGAATTTGACTACCTACGATCTCAGCGTCGATATGTTGGACGTACATGCAGTGAGTGCTCATCGATATTTTATATCCAAGCAAGTCTAGGAACATATAATTTGGATGCAACTTTCCTTTTAGGACAGAAACACATTCCATAGATTTGATAAATTCAATGCCAAGTACAATCCAATCGGAGAAAGCCGACTTCGCGAAGTGTTCTTGAAAACGGACAATTATTTGAATGGCAAATTCTTTGCGAGCATAATTAAAGAAGTAGCCAGTGATCTTGAGGAATCGAAGTATCAGAACGCAGAACTTCGTCTCTCAATCTATGGTAAAGGTCCAGAAGAATGGGACAAATTAGCAAAATGGGCTATTCAGAGTGACGTATATTCTGATAATGTTCGCTGGCTCATTCAGATTCCTCGACTTTAGTAAGTTTTTATTATATGCTATACAGTGTACCTCATTAAATCTTGATATCTAACACACTCAGTCTTGTGTTTTAATAAACTAAAGTAAGAATAGCTTTAAAAGTTTATTTCTAATCATTTGACAATCGCTTCAAAATATACGTCCTTTCAAAACTTATACTTAAGGTACTCGTTAAGGTGGTTTTATATGGACCCGAAAAATTATTTGTGAAATTTCATTGTGACACCGTTTGAGTATGTTCTATGTCTCAAAAAACTATTACAGTACTTTTTTAGTATATTTAAAATAAATATTAGGGGTTCCTACTACTTATAGAAAATTGTAATTTTTACTGAAAAAACCGTATTACGAGTACTTATGATATGTATATATGGGTGGTTCTTGAAATCGAAGTATTAAAATTATATAGGGGCATCTATGTAGTTATTTAGTTCTCCCATCTGAAGGATGAGTGTATGTATTTTTGTTTGCAAATTTACTAGCGTTTAGAAGTGGCTACCGGTTACCAAAGTTTTTATATTGTAAATTATATTAGGATGGTCGTAATTACTGGACAATGTTTAACGAATAATACATATTTAGATCATTAATGTTGAGTGAAAATGTTATTTTATCTATAATTAAAATATACTAATTACAATTTGTTGTTTCTCTCCAGTGATATTTTCAAATTGAACAAATTGATGACAAACTTCCAGGAGATTTTAAATAATATCTTCCTGCCACTCTTTGAAGTAACGAATGATCCAAATTCCCACCCCGAATTACACAAATTCCTTCAATATGTAAGTAGTCTTTGATATAAATTATGGAAAAATTGTGTATAGACCGTAGATATCTATGCAAATTCGCATTTTTATATAATATCATTCACGCCAAATCGATCATTGCGTTAGCATAAATGACAACTGAAAGAGCTATCATATCTGCGGATTCTGTTTGATAGTAATCGAACGCTTACAATACCAGTTTAGTAAAATATTGTGGTCGGTTGGAAAGTTCTGACTGTTTGAAAAAATGAAATTGCAGTTCATAACTGTCAATTTTTATATTATTTTATAAGCAAATGTTTTATGCAAGTATTTTATTGTACAGCTTCTCATCTTTCGACTTTTATTTATTACAGCGATTACAGAGGGTGTTAATAAAAATGTGTGACATTTTCTCAGGATGGTTTCTACATTTCAAACTGAAACAAAAAACAAGAATAATGAAAACACGTTCAAGTCTTTGTTTTGAGTTATTGATTGTTAAAAAATACGAGTAATATACGGGCGAAAAAATTCTGGCGTGATGGCTTATATGTAAACGAAGCGCTGCTCAGCTGACATACAAGCTCGGTCGGTAACCGTCAGTCTTGGTAGCACACCGAAAGACTGGCTGACGTGGTGACATACGAACGCTTGAGGAAGTGTGTTTCCGTTTTGTAGTTGAGTGTTCTTTGTTGATAGACGTAATGCTTTGCTGTGCGATTTCGTGCTTCTGTTTAGTCTGATGTGCTTCTGTGTGTCTACGTAACTTTGCCTTTGTGGTTCTGTGAATGTATAACTGCATATCGTGACCTTAAACGTAAAACTCGTAACTCCATTTAACGGAACTTTACAGGAGAGCAATAAAATAGTTCAGAATTAATTGAACTTATTAAATTATAGAAACTAAATAAGTTTTTTGAACTTCATTTAATTCACAGGAGTTGTAGAATTACTAAGGAAAATGTATTCATTTTGAGTGCTCTGAGTGACGCTAAAATGTAAAATTAGCCCAAATGTGAAGTTACGAGACTTACTTATTAAGGTCTTAATAATTAAGACAATCTACTTATCGATTGTAGCGAGTAGGTAGGTTTAATGTCGTCTAACGATTCCTACTGGAGGTTCCAAAAAGTTAAAAAAAAAATTATTACAGTACTATAAGGCGTCGTATGTCGCCACTTCAGGTAAGAGATATGTGGGTTTTTCTACAATGTACTACGACCCTGACAGTTACCGACAGAGTCCATATCTCAGCTGAACGGCGCTTGATTTTAATAGTAAAACCCGTCGTGACAGATATATTTCGCCCGTATTTTATCGGTATTTTCAATACTTAATAACTTGAAAACGCAGTCTCGAACGAAATTTCCTGATTCTTGATTTAGTTTGGCATGCAGACTACACCCTGTGGAAATGTCCCACAATATTATTAACATCCTATATGTGTAAAATTGTTATGCTGGAGTTTAAAACACTCTAAGAACTGGCATAATTAATTTTTTGGCTCTGTTTTGAAAAAAATTGTTAAAAACTATATATTTGTTAAACAAATTTCACACAAAGAAAATCGTCTCTTAAAGACTGCCTCTCTACTTACCTATAAGAGGATTACCTCAGATTACAACTTCATCAAAATTCTTAGTATTGTCTAAAAACAAATTGATTTGGAGTGGAATAATTCTACAATGTTTTACCAAACCCAAAATTAGAGCAAGTCGCGTTAATTCATCAATTAACGTGTTCATGATAACATTTGTACGTAATAATTACATAAAATTCGATTACTTACACGAATTTAATTTTCTTATTACCATAGGTTATTGGATTTGATTCGGTTGACGATGAAAGTAAACCTGAAAATCCGTTATTTGATAAGGATGTTTGCCCACCTGCTGAATGGGATGATATTGAAAATCCTCCATATGGATATTATCAATACTACACTTATGCCAACATGACTGTTTTAAATCATTTTAGAACGTGAGTTCAAAAGCTCTTCTATTTTTGTAAATAATGCATAATTTGTATATGACACAATATTTTACAGAGAACAAGGTTTGAACACCTTTGTTCTTAGACCTCATTGTGGTGAAGCTGGTCCAATTCAGCATCTTGTGTGTGGTTATATGATGGCAGAAAACATTTCTCATGGTCTTCTACTTCGAAAAGTTCCAGTACTGCAGTATTTATACTACTTGGCACAAATTGGAATTGCTATGTCACCTCTCAGTAATAATTCTCTCTTTTTGAACTATCATCGCAACCCACTTCCAGAATACTTAGCTAGAGGTTTGTGCGTAAGCTTGTCTACCGATGATCCACTTCAATTCCACTTTACCAAGGTTAGTGTAATAGAATTTTATTTTGTACATTGTTTGGGAATACAACTTCTTGAAGTTCTCTTATATATTATTCATTATTTTTTGCAGGAACCTTTAATGGAAGAATATAGTATCGCTGCACAAGTATGGAAACTTAGTTCATGCGATATGTGCGAATTAGCACGCAATTCAGTACTTATGAGTGGTTTTCCACACAAGGCATGCATTTTATGTATATGTACATATATACCTTTATATGTAAGATAAATTCATTATTTTCCTGCATTTTACAGAGTAAACAATATTGGCTGGGACCGAACTATACTAAGGAAGGAGTAGCTGGTAATGATATCACCCGAACAAATGTGCCAGATATTCGAGTGGCCTATCGATATGAAACTTTAGTCGACGAATTGTCGAATATTTTTAAAGTCGTTGAGAAACCTGACGCCGTTCCATTTTAATTTAGTAATATTATGGATATTATAGTGTGACTGCAAATGGTATCTATAAAATTCGATAAAATTACCATGAGAACTATTTGCAGTGAGAACTATGTAACGTAATTAATTATGTGATTTATGCTAATAATTTTTTGAACTTTAAATGACTCCTTTGTAGAAGGTGGTTTCTTTTTATCGAATATATAACGATATACAAATGTTTTTTAACGGTAATTGTACAACCATTAAGTGCAATTTAAATAATCTTGTTTAAAAATCATGTGTCAGTTTATAGTCACTAATATTACGTCTACAATGTGTACCTAATGATGGTTTGAAATTTTTCTGTTTTTGCGTTCTAAGGTATTTCAAGCGCAAAAACACGTCTACTATACGGGGTAAATATGAATTAAGTTACATACAAGGAAATGTCTTTCCTTCCGATTGCAGAATTTCGATATGAAGCAGGGATAATCTAATTTGAAAATTTTCATGTACATTGACCAGTATAAGAATAGTTAGGTTTTATGTAGATAGGATTAAAATTTGAACTGTTCTAATCCTCAGTATGCATATTAAATTGAATATTATTACATGAATTATATTGAACTACATCTTGTATTAACTTTATGTTACAAATGCATAGTATATAGCAAAAAAATAATAATTTTGTTATATTGTAGACACACTAAAATTGTTAGCCCAACCTTTTAAAATTTAGTTTTAATTTATTATCTTTTTGTACATTTATACAGTTAGTATGTATAGTATCTGTTTTCAACAAATGTACCTTTGACTTGTGAACGGATAGTTCGTAAATTGTATACGCCATTGTAACATCTACATACTTTTATTACAGTTAATATATAAACACATTTAAGACTATTAAATTCAATATTTTGTATAGATTAATTGATTTTGCACGACAACAAAATTCTAAAACTTATTTAGAATAATTGGAATGCAAATAATAAAGCATTTACTTTCTTAAAACAACTTTTCTCTCAACGAACTTTTAGTGGCAAGTATGCAGGGTGAGCCATATCAAAAGTTACAAGTCGTTGTCTTCGAAAGCATTTTAGATATCGACTTGAAGTGTTCTTTACATTAAATGGAACAGGACAGCTGATCATTTGGTGTGTAACAAATGTTTTTTGGGAAGAAGTTCGGTAATGGGGGCAACCTTATTTTATTTTTTAAATAGAATGGCATACAATTTTTTTTTTTTTTGCTTAGTTAAAAGGTTGTAATGATGGATGGTTTTCTCAAGCGAAACTTTAAGGAGACATAGCAAGATCTCAAAATGGGGAGTTTCGTTTTTTTGGTCAAAAATATCGATTTTTTAGCATTTTGAGGGAAGATGGGTTATTCCATCGGAAAATTGTTGGCGTCGAACATTAGTATTTCTTAACAATTTATATCTTAAAAAATTGCTCCCAATTTGCTCCCTCGGAATCCAAAATTGCTCCCATAGCATCGTTTATACTTAATGAAATATTCGCAAATGAAAAAGCAAAAATTTGTTTGTAAAATAGGTAGTAAATGGTCTTTTTACACAAATATTATGGTACCAAAAAATTGCTTCTGATCTGTTTTATAATAATCAATAATCAGATATCTCAATAACAACTTATTAACAAGGAGCAATTAAATAAATGTTGTTGCATACAGGTTAGGTATTAGGTCATACCAGGTCATACCACAGCGACCTAGTACGAGCTAGTGATGGGCACCATCGACTAGGTCGATAGTAACCAACGACTACTTTGAGTCGACTAATTTAGCCGCTTGACGCGACTATTTCGGTCGACTAAATTTAGTCGCTTCAAACGACTCGCTCGAACTATCGAGCTATTGATCGCTATTGACTGGATCTTGATTATTTTCTTCGTGATGTAAACCAATTGCAATTTTTTCATATATTTTTGTATGCATTACCAAAAACTGTACAAATTATTGCTTATAACCCAATTAATTTTCATAAAAAATTTAGAGCAGTTAATTTTTTAAGTGCCAATATTAAATAGCTTACAAAAAATCAAATATTAGTAATTGTTTAAAAAAACTTGTTTACCACTTATATTTTTAAAATTCTATCTATGAACTAATACATTTCTAAAAGGTAAATACACCAATAGTGCTGAAAAGTTGACGATATAATCTATACATAACCTATAAGACAAAATTTCAGTCGACTAAAAACCATCGACTACATAGTCGATAGTTTAATTTAGTCGATGGTGCCCGTCACTAGTACTAGCACAGCCGACTCTAGTACTAGCCGTGCTGAACAACATGGCAACACCGCTCATGGCGGATTTTGGAGTCCTATTTTCAAGAATAAAGTCTTGTGCTCAGTGTTATAATTATTGTTATTTTCTACATAAAACTATACTAATACACAGTATTTTTGATTAATTATACATAAGAAATACATAAATATCATAACTATAGTAAGTAGAAGTAATATAGAAGCACCGACTAGGTATAGGATAGACCTATCATCTTATGGGACTTCGTGTCTCATGTTCTGAAATACCGATAGTGTAAAAAGTCAGGGATTTTCTGCTGCCCTCTACGTTATGAGGACGGTGATTTTGTGAACTACGTTAAACTAAGAAGGGACCATGGTCGTGAACGGATTCTCTTCCGTCCGTTCGCTATAAAGTAGACGTATTAGAAAGGAGTCTTGGGTTCTTATCCTGACGGACCTATATTAGTTTTTCTTCGCGTACAAAAAAGTTATTGCGTTTAATATTGTTTTTATGGATATGTATATGTATTATTATGTTCATTTGAGTAAATTATTTTATTATTCCATTGTTATTACAACAGTTTAACAGTGACAACGAACGCATGCATATTTTCAAATATCGGAATAATAGTATATTTTTATTCTATATTATTACATATAAGTGAGTAATACGTATCAAAAACGTAATCGAAACACAGATTTTGATTACACCACAAACATTGCATAAAAGATATTTCGTTATATTGACATTTGTAATAATTACGGATGTTGCGGAGAAATCAATATTATTGACATTATGGAACATATAACGAAATATCCCTGTAACACTTAAAAAAAGTTTTAAAGTTCCATTTATATCATTGTCCTGTGAAAATGTTCATACTTCCAGCAACATTCATATTCCAATCAAAGAATTTACAGAATAAGGAAAAGGAATCTAAAGTAATTTTCAGTAGTTCCATACATCTTTATCTCGAATACTTTTCTAAAACATTCAAAGTACTAGACATTTTTACACTTTGAATCTCATATCGATTTCTAAAATAATCCTAGTTCGATGTAATATAGAACGTGGTTTTATGAGATAGATTCGAAGTTCGCAGCCATTAGCTCGATATTGTCATCAGTTTACAGTACTTTACCGATGATAATACCGATTGCCCAGGCCTCACCACGAGGAGGTTGCTGCGAGTGGAGGCCCAAGGCAGGTAGATGGAATCACAAGTTCTACATCTTCCCACCTTTCACAATAAACCTTATAAATAACTTAAATCTTAACTATGTAATACTATCGGTACTAAAATCCCTCGGCGGATGACTTCTTTCTTGAGCCTAAACCTATAAAAAACTAAGTTCCCTCGTCGGTTGTCTTCGTTCTTCAGCTTAGAACTAATATTATCTTAATATTCTAATTAATACGAATTAATGCTATTAATACAAAATAACTTAAACTAAACGCAACGTAGTCGCTAATACTCAAACGAAAGAGATAGACGGAATGGAAAAAGTTCCATCGATCATTTCGTTTACGCACCTAATATTCTATATACCAAGCAGTTATTAAGTCTACGATGAACTACGCGTTAAACTACAGTATGAACAAGTATCGCGATGAAAGTGTTGTCGCCAGAACCTGGTTTAAGAAAATAGGAAAGACGGGCGACACCTCGCTAACCCGGATCCATCTTTTACTGTCATGGAGCTTTGGGCTGGTCACCTGCGTACCAGACCCGAACCAAAAGAGTACACAAGCATGGTAGTGCAAGCGAGATTCTCTGTTAAACAGAGTCCGTTTACGGAGCAGCCTCCCGACTACTCCGTACCCTGGCACGCACGAGTCTTTCTCCAAATCCTACTTACCAGGCAAAGACTAAACACGTCCGATATCTGGCTTCTCAATAGAAACCAGAGGGATCGGCAAACAGTCTTAGTGCACAGGCCCACTGCCCGTACCATAGGTACAGACCCACTGCCCGTACCCCAAGTCTGTGTAGAGAATCAACGAGCAAAATGAATTAATAATAACTTGGTATGCACAATGGATGGTCACAATTTAAGTCTATTAATAGATAGACTAAAATTAATAATAAACGATGTGATGATGAATATGAATATAACAATGAATATCGAATTATGATTTAAGTTTAACTTACAGTAACTTAACGCAGTGGTAGACGCACGCTTTGAAGATGTAGACGTTGATCGATGTCTTCTTTCGATGGAATAACTGTTTGGAAAAATATTTTTCATTATACAATACACATAGAATACATAATATGCACAGTAAATAAATCACAGTAAATGAATCACAGTACATAAGAAAATAAATATCAGTCAATGGTGCTCGAACATCTGTAACATACAAAGGATTAGTAACAAGAGTGGGGACACAACAATGTGCACAATAAATAAATTAATAATATGCACAGTAAATAAATCACAGTATAGAAATCACAGTAAATGAATCACAGTACATAAGAAGATAAATATCGAAGCCAATGGTTCTCGAACATCTGTAACATACAAGGGATTAGTAACAAGAGAGGGGACACAACAATATGCACAGTAAATAAATTGATGGTTGTCGAATGCCTGCAACAAACAATGGGTTAGTAACAAGAGAAAGGACGAGTATGAGACGCACGCCCACCCTCCGCGACGGCTCACGAGAAAGTGAGGAAGCTAACGCCGTTATGTATTGGGCGTACGCAGGTTTGTTCGTGTTGAATTGTTTTTGCCGACTTCAACGACCTTCCTCCTTGAACGACCCAAACACCGGATGCTACGGCCTGGTACGGCGTACACGGCTAGGTCAATAAACTGTGTGACGTAACATCACTAGCGCGTTGGACCGACCGAGAGCACCGATACCGCGGCACGCTCTACCGTACTCTCTCGCTCGCACACCACCCCCCACAGACCACCGAAATTCTTCGGCACGCGTCAACACCGAAGGAGAGCACCGATACCGCGGCTCGCTCTATCGCTCTCGCTCGCACGCCGTAACGTCACCCGATTCCCGGAATCCCGCGGTTACGAGATGGCTCATTACGGTAAGGCATTCCCGCAAGGGAAATTGTAAGCCGCCGGCCAAAAGGTAGATTTAATAAATTATTTATGAAACTACATCTATTCTGAATTTATCTGTTACAAATATACAAATGTAAAGCAAGATATAAAAACGAATGAAACAAGAACATGTAAAAAGTAACATTGATAAAAATGTCAATTAACGATGCATTTAGAATAAATTGTCTTGTAGTTAAGTGAAAAAATATATACTTTTCCGTTTCATGTTTCATGACTGTCATATTTATCCCTTAACCTTAAACTGAAGCATCGGATATTTTTATTCTCGTGAAATCATATAGATACACGTAATATGAATGGAATATATAACACTTCATTTGTGCTAATAATACTCAGAATTCATGCTTTATCGGTAACGTCGGGTATTGACACTAAAATGGTAACAGGGCTATGAACGTGGGACAGAAAAAAGCATTGGATGATAGGTCTATTCTATACCTAGTCGGTGGTGCTCCTTTTGTGTTCCTGACTATATGTATAATTGTTCTTTTTATTTAAAATTCATAACTATTTCATAATTGCACTGGTTTTAAAATATTTTACCGTTATTACATTACTACCGATCACATCATTATAAATACATGTATAAGGAGGTATTTAACTTTTTCCAATGCAAATGTATTAGAATTGAAATTTGTTGAGAAAATTTAAATGAAATAATTCTACGAAATTTACAATGATAAACATTAACTTAAACACGTTTACTGCCAGATTACTGTACACGGCAGATCCAACAAATTCAACATTGGATTCTGTCCACATAATTCTCCCTAATAGTGAAATATTTAATTGTATACGAATACATTGATAATTTGTACCTTTTGTTGTCTGAAATTATAATCACAATTACGTAGGTATATGTCAACGACATGGCGGCGAACATATTAATATACTTTACTCTTTTTTACATCTTTTCAAATTAGGTTTAGTTTTTAGTATTCAGCAAGGAGGTCTCTGATATATTTACAAAGAGTTGCAAAATCTGGTCTTTCATGACTTTGCAAATGCCAACAAGGATACATAATTTTTACATAAATAGCTTGTGGACAAGTGGAAGGACAGGGAAGACGCGTGCCTCTTTCTAATGCAGCTAACAGTTCGGTACTTCCTTGCTCTTGATCATTTTGAAGACTCTCTGTGCTTGAGTCAACTCCAGGTAAACGAGGTTCTTCACCAAAACCAAACGTTTCATACATTGTTACACCAAAAGACCAAACATCTGATCGAGTAGAAAATTTTCCATCCCTAATACTCTCAGGTGCATACCTAAACAATAAATGTTCTTGAAATATCAAATTTGATATTTTATCCGCAAATTTTTATGTTTGAATAATTTAAAGAATCTGATTAACTAAATTTCAACTTAACACTGTCCATCTTTTATATGCTAAGATAGACTTGGAAATTAACTGCTCTTTACGGCCAAATTTCACATGCAACGTCTCGGCCACCGCGAAAGTTTATATCTGCATGTCCTACGTCCGTATTGGACATCCCTAGGATATTCGTAAGGCTTAAATTTCGGATGTTTTAGAAACATCCGTTCCGAAAGTCCTGACGGCCTTGGAACCAATTCCCCGCGAATACAGGGGTCCTATTGTATTTACCATATTATTCCTTTTTAAAAATGGACAATTTGTAATCAGAACCAGTGCTTGTTAATTAATAAGCGATTATTAACTATCAACTTGGAATAAGTCAAACCTCACTTCGAAAAGCGACATTTAGTATTATGTTCCGTGTCTTAATTATTTGTGATATGGAAACCTATTGATACAAACTGTCGCTCTAATGGGCTACCCACGGTTCATATGGTGCGCACCCGAGGGGCGTCGGGGCGTTGCTTTTGAAAATCGGCCGAAAAGAGCAGTGATTTCTCAAGCCCGTACTAAGATATTGATTTCTTTGATACTTTTAATTGTTAATTTGTAGTTAGTTTTTTTATATTTACCATTTAATAGGAAGTCCACGATCCGTCTGCAAAATATAATAATCGTTCTTCCCTGTAACTTGGGCCAACCCAAAATCACTAATTTTAACTTTACTTTCATCAGCAACTAAAATATTTCTTGCAGCAAGATCTCTATGAACAATGCGCATGCTACCCAAATAATCCATTCCCGTTGCAATATCCAATGCGAAACCCAACAATCTTCTGTGTGTCAGTTCTTGTTTGTGAATTGCTAGATAACTTTGCAGTGAACCATGTTTCACATACTCCATTACTAAACAAACTTCTGGCTCTGATATTACTCCAAGAATTTCCACTACATTCGGATGTTTTAGAGTCTAAGTTATATTTTAAAAATAAAATAGCATACAATTAGGTTAAATGTTATGTAATGTCATTTAGTATTTAAAATACCTTCATTATGGCAATTTCTCTTTCGAAGTCTTGTATATCAGCTTCAAGTGCCCTGGTTTTCAATTTTTTTACAGCAACTTGTTGCGGTTCTATATCCTTCCCGTTTTCTCTTTCAAGAATACCTCTATAAACTTCTCCATAAAAACCCTGACCAATTCTGCCTTGCAAAATTACATTGCAATCTATGTCCAATTCATATATGCCTCTCAATTGACCTAAAGAACCATTACTGCTTCCTCTAGACCCACAATCTTCTCCTGTTCCTGGTTCATTCCTTCCTATTACCTATTTTCATATTAATATTATAAAACGTTTTTTATCTATTGAATTCAACGATAAGAAGCACATTTAGTTAACACATTACCTCACTCAAGTTGCCAGGATGTCCTATTCGAAGAGTTTGAGTGGAGTGTTCAATGGGATTCATATTAGAAATGCTGTTCTGAGAGATTGAACAACCTTCCGAGTCTCGTCTTGCACTCGATAACCAACCAAAATATGCAGAAAGATCTTCTGTGCTACCTATGTAGTTCTCATTGATATTTATTAAACCTTGCGTACCTAAAATTTAAATAAAACAATTGCAAAATGAATTTGACTTTAGTAGTTAAAATCAAGCAAAATCGTATGAAAATACATTCCAAGGGTTTTAGCGTAATACATATACGAAAATTCATACTTGCTTACTACTCTTGCAAATGCTTAAATGATTTTCATTGATCTAAATATTAGGGTACATGCAACATTAATTTTAAACAAACAACAAAATTGATAAATTACTGTATCTTACTACCATCAGTATCGTTCCAAGGAAGACTTGTATTTTCTGTATCCAGACTACTAGATATTGAATCACTGTTTATTGATGCACTATCAGCATTATCTGAATTATCTTCATCATATTTCTTAAATTCAGAACTAAACAGTTTAGGAAAAGCTGTTGCATAAGCATGACTTCTACGAGAATTGTAGACCTGATATAAAATTTGATTTATATCTCTCATAATGGCCTGTGGTTGTTTTCTAGAACCACTCAAATCTCCCCAACATTCTAGCATTAATCTATAAACTTCTGTAGGACATCTGTTTGGAATAGGTAAACGTTTTCCAGATTCATAGTATTTCTTCATAGAAGCAGCATTTCGAAAGTCTAATAATGTAATCCCCCTGAAACGAATAAATGTTCAATTTAAAATACTATATTAAGTATGATGGTCTGTCACAGCATAGCCATTACACTATTAAAACTATATATTCCTTGATAATTACTAAAAGAGGCCTTTTATTTCAAACTCTGCTTAAATGGTTTTACCTAGCGAAGATTTGCCAAATTGTCGTTCCAACAGCCCAAACATCTGCTTGGAAACTATGTCTCGCTAGTTCTGGATCATTATAAATTTCTGGAGGCAGCCAGTGAATATCTGTCTCCGTATATACAAATAATCCTGGATCAGCAAGTTTCACTACGAAACTGTTATTAGTGTGTGCGTGTACTAGGAGTTTATTGCACCTAATGTTACCATGAACTACGCCGTTTTCTTCAAGATGCCAAAGTGCAGTAGCTAAACAAGCTGTTGCTTCTACCATATCTACAGTTTTAATAGTTTGCGAAGAAGAACTACGTAAATATTCGTCGAGTGGACCATGTCGTACCAATTCCAAAACCATTCCAATCATTGGTGTGACTGTTAATCCGTATAACCTACGTAACATAAAGATTATTTAGTTCTTTCATACAGTAACGCATAAGGTAATTGACCCGTAACTCAAGAAAATTTATTTCGAAGTCAATTTCATAAAAAAATTCCCCCTTTTCCGCACTTAACATTTATTATCTATTCGACTTATTTCAATAACTTGCATAACTTCAATAACTTGATATTACGCACAGTACTTTTTCGAGAAAGAAAGTGAAATTATTCGTTCATTATTAGGTTTAGAGTTAATGGAGGTGAATACTTTTTTGCTCAGAATTGAACACTCTTCGATATTTTGGCATAAAAAATATAGCATTCTATTTAAAATAACGAAATTGATCTTAAAATCTCTGAAACGCTATCATGTATAAAAAAAATGATATACACTACATAATGTATCCCTCTAAACCATGCAATTTTTGTATACAAATTTTTTTCTTGCAATACATACTTTTGAAGTTATTTAAACTGTTCAAATTGCGTGGACCAACCTGTATAGTAGGACCCCCGTATCCGCGATTTCACTTATCCGTGGCTGACCACGATCCGAAAAAATTACGTTCAAGAATGTAATCTCTCTCTAATTAAAGTCTTCATAAAAATCAAATGAAATACTATCACAGATACATATGTATAAGGTGTCAAGAAATTACATGTCGCGGCTACCATGCTGCAAAATTAACCTTGACCTTGAATTTGAAGGTAAAATTTTGTTATCGTTGCATTATACAGGGTGTTTCAGCTAACTTGATCACCTTGAATAATGACTTAACGGTACACTTTATGAAAATTTTATGGCGTGGAACTAAAATGGTGTCAAGGAGCACATCTTATAAGGTACATGCTTTTTTGGTGGGTGGAGGCATTTCAGAGATTTCAAGATCACCTTGATTTTTTTTTAACGTAATGACCTACTTTTTGTACCATAGATTGATAGAGAAATTTTTGTTCGCACTATCGTATCCTTTCATTTAAAACAAAAACCAACTAATTGGTCCACTTTAACATTTTAATGTTTAAAGCTACTTTATACAAAAATGACTGGCCATAATGGTCGAATGTTCTACAATTTGTTTATACTCATCGGCCTCTATGATTTGAGCCTAGTCCCGTTAAAAAATCACGACCTTCCCTTGTAAGCACAACACATATTCTGCGTGTATGTCTGACAGAGTGCTTTAGCACTTTGACCGAGCCAAGATCCAAATCATTAAAAGATCACAACCGCAACGCAGAACGTAACGATTAGAAACTATATCATAAACACATTATGTCAGTTACCTTACAAGTGTCCCAGAACGCAGTTGAGACCATTTTCCGGCAAGTTCTAGAAATTCTTTGGTGTAATTCGATTCTTCTTGCTGTTTCAAAATTTTCAATGCAACCTCCAATTTCTTTCCCTTAGTTAATCTCCAAATTCCTCTGTGAAGGGCTGTTGCCGAGAAATGTTGAATTCCTGTAGCTCTTAAAAATGGCTTGTAAATTTCAAGTTGATTTCGTGGTACACAACGTGGTCCAGTTTCTAAAACTGAAGCAACTATTTCTTCGTCAGCTGCAACTTCACTGACTGCACTCTCAGGAGCACATAGTAATAATGAAGATTTGTCTAAAACATAATTAAAAAATACAATTAAATTAGTATCATAATAAAATTAGTATCATGACAAAAATAAATTAAATTCAATACAGCATACGTGATGTAAGTGATAGATATAAAAATATATTAAGTGAAAATATTATGAAAGGGGTTATATACAAATTAAATTTTTAATTAAAAGACTGGTTTAAAATTGCATCTACATATGTAATTTTATGTACATCTTAATATAGAAAATATTAGAAAAAATCTGTTGAAAAGGGAATAAATTTAGAAAGGAGTGAAAGTAAAAACTACTTGAAGAAAAAATTTTAAATAAAAGTAAAAAAAAGAATTCAATTTACCATATTCTGATGGTGGTAAACATTCTGTAAGATATGAATGTCCTTCAGAATTTTTGAAAGATGCAACACATTGTGCCAATGAGTTATAACGACCAGAAATACCAGTAATAACAAACTCGTCAACTCTCTCTTCTATTTTTTTTGTAAACAATTTTCCTTCCTTGTTACATGCATCTAAGAAATATACATTGTATTCCGTTTCACTTTCTCTGAGTAAATAAGAGCCAGGTTTATTCGCACGTTTCTGTTGAAGTTTCGCGTACGAGAATTCTTGCCTAAAATATAATTCCATTCTTTGATTATTCTTTTATAGTCTTTATTTTTTATAATTTTCAAATATTTTTATATTTTACTGATGTTAGGTATTGCTAATTTTGTAAATATTTAAAAATATATCAATACCAATTAACATAGAACAATACTGATTCAAAATACTCTCTTATTTAAGCATGATTTGAACACTTGCAAACTTCATTTTTAAATATAATGATAATGATTGAGCGTATTGTATTTTATGTAGAATCTACGAATTAGAAAAATAATCATGCTGCTGCAATAATAATAAAATTTGACAATGTTAATTGAAATGAATTAAATCCTACCCAACTGGACCATGACATTTGAGTTTATGCAGTTTTTCCAAAGTAGGTGTAACAATTTCACCACATAAATTAAATGTCCATTTAATTGCTAGACGATAATATCCATCCAAGGCAGAAACGAAAGATATTAAAAGTGCATTCTTTGCAAATTTCAGGTATGATGGTATACCATTTTTTCTCGAAATTTCTACTGTATTATCTTGCCTAGAACACAATGAATAAAAATTTCCTGTTTATTGATTCCTAATTATTTTTAACCCTCACCCAGCCGACACTGGGTCACTTTGATCCATGCTTATATTTTGAGTGTAACGGAAAATGGCAAGTGCATTCGTTTACACGGCTCAGTCATGTCACTGTAACAGAAACACTGACTGTGTGGAGAATTTCATTGTCTCCAGCATGCAGTAGGAAGAAAAAATCTAACGAGCTATGTCTGGATTTAGTGAATTTGTGCAACGTGAACAAAATCATAACGTTAATGTATCATCAGATGGAGACATTACATCAGTCAATGATAAATCATTTTACGTTTGCAGTGCATAAAATAAATGGTATATGTATTCATAAAATATTTACATTTTTTTCATAAACTCCCTTCCTCTTTATATCGTAAGCATTATTCGATAATATTATGCACCGAAATAGTAGGTCTAAATAGGTACAATGAAAAGTCTGATATGGGTCAAAGTGACCCAATCTCGGCTTGCCGTGTCGCTGTTTTTAGTCGGCCATTCAAGGGTTGATGAAGTGAAGATGGGTAGGTTAAAGTTTTTCATGCCCTACAATGATAGAAAAATGTTGAGAGTACCATTAAAAAAAATTAATTTTTGGACAATTTCAATGTCACAATTAACATTAACGCACTGATACTTGTTGACACATTACAAGCTTGCTTACATTTTTGATACTCTGTGTTTGGTGCTCCCTCATTTAACTTTTACAATATTTTCAATAGGGATACCAAGCATACATGTGCTTTTGTAACTTGGTACATTTCATATACTTCTTTAGTATTTTATATACAGAGTGGACCACGAAATGCGATCAGCTAAAATTATTCTATTGCTAGCTGTTCAATTGAAAATTGTAGATGCATGCTTAGCCATCAATACAGACGTCATAAGTAGAACAAAGCAATCGTTTCTTAAGGTGGCTCCCGCAAATTTTTAATAATTATAAATATAGTTGAAAATTTAACAAAACATTCTTAAAAGCTTCAACTTTACGGATGCTACCAAAAAATCGCAAGGTCGACGATAAAAAAGAAGCGTTATAAAAATTTCATTTTAACACGAGCCTTATGGGACTGTAGTTAATACTGAAAAGTTAATCACTTCTTATGTAGTTACAAAAGATGACATTTTTACCAAAAATTAAGCGGTTATAGATTTGTTTTACGGGCATTATGACGGCACGGAGAAGAAGGTTTGGTAACGATCAAATAAAACTAAAAATTAAGAGTAAGATATGCAAACGTATTTAGGTTTCAATGCGTTTGGTAGTATCTTGTACGCATGTCTGCTATGACCGTCAACGTCGCTTTTTTCCTTTCGTTTGTTAGACGAACTGACCAATGTTTTCTTAAAAATTAAAACGAAAATAAAATTTTTCTATGATAAGGAAACAAATTTTTCTTTTTCCACTTATTTGTACATCTTTTTTCCCATTTAAGTATTTTGAAGTAGTTTAAAATATTAAGCATTCAAATTAAATTGGTAAAAGTGATAAATAGTATCTGCTAAAAGACGGTCGTAAAAGAATTATAAGTTTATCTATAAAAAAAACTGAAGGTGACCTTGAAAACTGAAGAAAAAAAAGGTTTCGCAAAAAAATTTGGTACAATCATCTTAAACTCTCCCTAAATTATGTAATATTAGTCAACAATATTTTCGATTGAACAATTAGCAAGAATAAGTTGGATTCTACACCTTTGATTTGGTGGAGATACAGGTAAGAACGTTACCGCAAAATGTACAGGCGGCTACCCGAGATTTCAGGCTCGGTCGCGCTCGCGTTTCCCCTCATTATTCGCGATACTGGTCGGCGCTCGCTGGTTAGTGACGCTTCTGTCGATCCCACCAGACTTCTTTCGATCCGAACCGAAGTGTCAGGCTGCTTAAACGTATATAACGAACGCTTGGTCAAGCTTGAAATCTCGGGTATCCGCACACCCCTAATTATTACCCAAGGATATTAAAGCAATTTAAAACACATTATTGAATACTCAGTAAAGCTTGCAGTTATTTCATATTGCCTGAAATTGGGTGATAGTAAATTAGCTACAATGATTTTAAAACTGTATGTCATTGTATGTATGTCACTGAACTGAATTCTTTCGATGTAATAAAGTGATAATTCTATTAAATATCTTGTTGTATGTATGAAATAATTAATTAATTGTTAACCTTATAGAAACAAAACATAAATCTTCAATTGCACACAATGTAGTCCAAGAAGTAGCAATTGTTTCACAATATTTCACTGCATCTACATTAACTCTCAAAGTCACTTTTGTTGGAGGAGTTTGGAGACCTTTATCCATCAAAACTTCATATTCTTCATATGGATAGTTTGGTGCCATACACTCAAATTGTTTCAGATACTGTTCTTTAACATAGTTTGCATCATATCCAGAAATCTTACGAAGGGCATTATGAATTGGTTTTTTAATAAAGAAAGCATGACGCTTTATACATTCCTTTGGAATGTATTTTCTGTATTCTGACTCCACTGTTTCTCGTGGTACTTTTTTCTCTAACATTACCCTGTGAAAAATTGAAATATATTAAAAAGTGTTAATTTTATCTAAACAACAAATTTTTAGTTCATATATATTTGACGTATAAAGTAATATGAAAATGAACATCATACTAAAACATTTTTATTTTAAATTTATCTTAACTTTACAAGGAGTTCTAATTATAAGTTGTGAACATTAAATAAGTTACAATCTCTAAATGATATTCAAGCAAGTAATTTAAAAAAAAAATGAAATAAGATTGTAATAACATCAATACATAATAAGATTCTAAAGTATAATTAAATCCAATGTGGCTAACTTAAGAAAAGCAGTTATAAAAGCTAATAACAACTTAGAAGAACTAAATGAATTATTGTTCAGTTATGACTGGACATTTAATTATTATTCTTTTGACATGATCATGTACATAAATAAATCATTAAATCAATTATAAATACCTATACATATCACTGACACCAAGGCCAATAAGTTCTTGTTTATGTGTCTCATACACAATATCTGGTACTTTATTGTCCATAACATCTGAACGTGCCTGTTGAAAATAATAGTCATAGGCATTTACATCTACCTGTTTTAACCGGCGTAAACTTGAAGGTTTAAATCTGAGTCTAAAGTCAAATTTATTTTTGTCTTTTGATTCTAAACGATGCGCTACTGGATACCAAAGTTTTGTGTAATGATTTCTAAGAGCAAAAAGATGTCTGGCCACTGGTCCTATTCCTACAGATTTGCAGACCTAAAAATTAATGTTGCATTTCATTTTCATATAACTTCAGAAAGAAAACAATACTCATGATTTTATAACTTCAAATGTATAATATGTACATACATATAACTCCTGATAAACCAAAAATTAAATTTGTAATAAAGTAATAAATACAATCTAAATTTTAATTGAAATGCACATTTGCATTATTCATCAATTACATCAAAATTGAAAATTGCTTTTTAATTTAGGTTTTAATAAATTTTATATTAAACTTTCCAAGTATGCGACACTATAATTATTTAAATTCTATTTTGTGTCAAGTTCTTCAAATTGTTAATAATAAACGTTTGTGGTACTATTTCTAAAATGTTATTTTTTACTCTGCAAAATGTCAAAAACAGAAACTGACTTTAATCTGACAATAATTGGGACATCTAAATTAAAATGCATTGTCTGAAATTTGTTTACCTTGATATAGAGATCTTCAATTGTTTGACCATATTTAACTGTAAAAGTCAATTCTTTTTCTTCGTTTGCAACGTAAACAATCGCTAATCGATCGTTTTCCATTTTTGGTAAAAATTACACGTTCCTTTCATATTTTATTTTTGCGATTCTAAAGCTACCGTTGTTTATTTACAAACGTGATATATAGCAGTGCGCATGTCACTAAAAAATATACATTGTACATATATAGATAATGAAAATACGTACATTGATCACAGGTTAAGTCATCACTAAACTTTTACAAAAATTTTGTATAAAAAATATAGTTTCAGTTATTACAGATTATTTATTCTTACCATTTCTGTATCATTTAAATGAAAGAATGCAATGAGCATATTTACAGAGGTTACGTAGTAACGAGACAAAAAGGAACTATTTACATTTAAATTATATATATTGTATGATAAAAACTAATCTTTCCGTGATAAATAAGCTAGTTTTACTATTTAATTTATTCTTTATACGATAAAGTAAATTTCAAATTAATGATATCCCTAGTTTACGGATTGATATACCCAACGTGTAAGCAAATTGGCATCCGCTAGGGGAAAAAAATAGCGTAGGAAAAGGGTCTCCTACCACTTTCAAGGGAAACTTACAAGTCGGCTAATCGCTTTTGGAATGACGCTATAAACAAGTTGTAGTACACATACAGTTTTACCAAACCCTCATTGGTTTCCGTAAAATGGGCTTTTGTTTTTGGGATATTCTGGTTTAAAGTTTTGTACGCATCTATGTAGTCATCCATTTATGTACTGATGTCATAACGGAGAACCTCTGGTTGGGTCGGGAGGGAAACGGATGGCAGTTATCCGAGAACCCTGAAGGAGCGTGGTTCTTTTAGAAATCAAAGGCCTCGGACGAATATTTCTTTGGACGTAACAATCGGTGGACAGAGAATGTTGTAATACAATGTCGATTGTCATCGCCCGGATAGCTCAGTCGGTAGAACATCAGACTGGGATAATCTTTAGTGTTCATTACTTGCTATAGTTAAAAATTCAGTATATTAGTGTGAAGTCATAATAGTTATAACAGTGCCTTTCATTGTGAGTGAAGTTAATATGATATTTGCGGGACTTATACTGCTTTTTGTTGATAAAAGTGGGTAACATGGATCCATCGCGGGCGCATGGCTCGAAGCGATGCATGTCGCCAGTCATCGGACAAAGAAAATGAGATAGCTACTTCCTCAATCAAGCTGAGGGAGTTAAAAGCTCCAAAGCTCCATTCTCTGCAGCTTGACCGTCTTTATAAACAATTTTTAAAAGAAAACAACAGTAGTTGTAAAAGTAAGGTTGCCCCTAACCTCAATGCAGCGAGGAAAAACCAGTCTCCAACGCCTCTAGCGGAAGTGTCAGGAAATGTGAGCAATGCAGCGAATTCTGAAGGGATATCGGAACAATGGGAAAATCCGAAGAAATCGAATAAAGTCGCCAATATAAAGGGGGATTCATCCTCTGACATCCCTAGCACGAGCAACAACCCATACAGCATTCTATCTAATGCTGAAGAAATGGATTTAGAAGATAATGCTGTAGAATCAGAAAACACGGAAAATAACTTAAGAAAAGTCTCAAAACCTCCCCCAATTTATACAGTAAATTCTGATATACAAACTTTAATAAATAGTATTAAATCAGCACAGATTCATAAATCAGCGTTTGCAATTAAAGAAATTAATAAAAACAATCATTATATATATATTAATCAATTAATGATCATCAAGTGATAATTAACAAATTGAAGGAAGATAATGTACAGCATTACACGTTCACCCCGAAGAACATGAAGCCTAAATCACTTATTATTAAAGGCATTAAGGGAAATTTCAGTGTGGAGGAAATTAAAAATGAGATAGAAGAGTTTAACTTACCCAATCTCAGAATCATTAAACTCAGCAAATTTAATTACAACAAGGCTGACCCAGACAGATTTCATTACATTATACAAGTTTCTGCTGAGAGTAAAACTGCAGAACTGTTCAAGATTAAAACCCTGGCTTACCTTAATGGCATGTGAAAATTGCTTACGGTTTTATGTTACCGTAAGTAATGAAATCAGGAAACGTCTTCCACATGACCATCAGTTTCTGAAACAGTTGTCAGTGTTGAAAGCGTCGAATGTATTCGGAACTATCAATAGGGAATCAGCATGTCAGGATTTGGTGGCGGTCGCACAACGATTAGGGCATTTCGACACAACGGAATTACAAAAAGAGTGGAACTTTTTGTATGTCAAAACTTCCAAGTTGGCTAGGGATAATTGGGCCAAGATAGCGTTTGATGACATGTGAGTAAACATCTGCAAACTAGAAAATCCACAGAAAAGTTTACTTTTCCCTACTCTACGATCTCTTTTAAATACTGTACGATGTTTACCCGCATTCGAATGCCGAGGCCGAAAGAGTCTTTTCTATCCTCCCCGACGTAAAATCGAAAAAACGCACTAAAATAGGAGTTGAGCTCCTAAATTCTATTTGTGTAGTGCGCACAGCTTTAAAGGCTACAAACGAGACTTGCCGCACTATGTCTGTCGATGACAGACATGTAAGTCTCATGTCGGGGAGACAGTTATACGCAAGTTCGTCACGCTCGCAAAACTTTAAACAGTTGTCATTGCACGTGTACGAACAAGAATAGGTTAGTTTTTGATCTTATCGGACTAATTTGAAATTATGATACAGTTACAGTTCCATTATTTCGCGTCTATTTCGCATCTATCTATTTCGTGTATTTATTTCGCCTTATTTTACATTTTCAGCGACGGATATATATTTTTATCAACAAAAAAAGATAAGTTTCTAATAATATTTACATTTTATCCTACGCTACTCTAATTATGACTATAATGCTTTGTATGTCTTTATTTTTTTTCCGATATAAAACAACTGTACAACATCGTATCTACGTGGAGCAGATGCAACAGTTGTCAGAAGCGCAAATTAATCTAATGGGACTTTGCTACGAATGTTTTTATATCTATGTGCTGCAATAGTAACATCTAATTGTAAGAATAATTTGTGTGTACACAAAATATGTATGTATAGAATACAAAATTTAAATATTGAAGTGGAAAACATTTATTTTCTTCTTTTTAAATGCCTCACAAATTAATATTTTTTAAGTTTTTTATTTTACTTAGAGGTTACAAAGTGAAATTATAAAATAATTAAAAATAAAAAGTAAAACCGCCGCATTGGGATCCGCACAGGGTCTCTTGACTGTTGCTCACGCGCTTAGGTTGTGGGGCATCGCGTCGAGAACGTAGTGATGGGCACCATCGACTAAAAACTATCGACTAAGTCGATAGTAACCAACGACTACTTTTAGTCGACTAATTTTTTTAATCGTCGACTACTTTAGTCATTTGAAGCGACTAACTTCAAACGAATAATGTTAGTCGCTTGAAGCGACTACCTTCAGACGAATAATATTAGTCGCTCGAAGCGATTACTTTCAGGCGAATAATATTAGTCGCTGGAACTATCGAGCTATTGATCGCTATTGACTGGATCTTGATAATTTTTTTCGTAATGCAAACGAATTGTAATTTTTCCATATATTTTTTTATGCATTACCTTGTAAACTAATCGTTTAAATTTCTCCGAAAAAGTCAGATCGTTAATTTTGAAAAGTTTATTTAATTGTTTAGAGTGCACGAATACTTTCTTGCCTCTTTTATATTAATAAGAAATTTTAAGTATTACTAAAAAAGAAGACGAACCAACTAGAACGTATTATCTCAGAATTCGACTCTGTCACTTGATAATGTAAACATCTAAAACTCTAAACATTAGAGGAAGCAGGGGTGGGCTAGAATTACTAACGAAAATAAAAGATTCGTTCTTTAATTCTTTTACGAAGATTTATATATATTATATTTTACTGTTTATTATACATAATATTAATACGTTTATTATTAATATTGATACATTAATATTATGTAATATTAATTGATATTAGTAATATTATTGTAAGAAAAAACGATAAAAATGCAAATAAATAAGTCGTAACTATTAATGTTGAATCGATAATTTTACAAAAAGGTTTCGATGCTCGCCAGCTGAGAAGAACGATTCTTCTGTCCGGAAAAGCCCCTTTCTTTTCGTCAACGTTTGCTTTTCAAGTGCTTGAAGTCCCTTATCGGCAACTGTGGTATCACTATCCAGATGTCCTACAATCCTTACATCAGAACAATGGGACATTATAGAAGACATAATACCGTTATTGAAACCAATAGAATATGTAACTGTAGAGTTGTGTGCTGAGAAATATTCTACAGCTTCAAAAATCATGCCATTAATAAAAGGAATTGAAAACGCCATCCAAAATATTACATCTGTGACAATGCCTGGCCTTGCACTAAAAAATAACCTGTTAAACAATACTGATATTAGATTTGAATACATAGAAACAAATAAAATTAAATTAACAGCTACAATAATAGACCCTAGATTTAAAACAGCAATTTTTCAAAGGGAAGGAAATGTACAAAGAGCAATAGAAACTTTAACATCAGAACTTCAGAATTTACTAACCAACGTGCAAATTCATGAGAATAGACGTACAAACCCAGAAGAAGAAGAACCACTTAATCAGGATGCAGGATTTTGGAATTTTTCTATTGATAAAGTTTCCCATCTAACTAGACAATGCTCTACACCTTTAGAAACCGCAACAAACATAACAAGGCAATATTTAGATCTGCCTTACGAAAGTATTAAAAGTGATCCCATTGCATTTTAGAATACACATGGCCACACAATGCCTGAACTAAAAAAAATTAATGAAAAATATTTATGTACACCTGCAAGATCTGTTCCATCAGAACAGATATTTTCCAAAGTTGGACAGATTATGTCAGAAAGAAGAAATAAACTATCGTCAAAAAATTTAGATCAAGTCACCCGACGGTAACTTTCAGAGTGACCTAGGTCGGGTCATCGTTGTCGGTCCCAGTCATAACAACACTCGTCAGTCTGCTTTGACTACCAGCGCATCTTCTTCCTTTCCAACGCATCTCTGCGGCAAGCTCGGCCTCGGAAGGCAGCGGCTTACGGGACTTGTGCACCGGTCTTGGTTGCACCGTCGCGACCTCCACCGCTGCCTCCAGCTGAAGCTGTCGCTCCCGG